TGTGTGTGTGTGTATGCATATATATATTTTTTATGTCTCTTATTTACACACACACATGTATAGGAGGAATCCCATCATCTGAAAGGGAAGTTGATGTTTCATGTAAAATACAATTTACAATTCATGTGTCTCGGCACTTTCTCATGTAGATTGTTTCTGTTATAATGTAATTCACTGTACAAAATATTGAAGGAAAATTGTTGTCATAGCTGTAGTGCCTTTAAGCTATAAATCTACTTGTCACTCAGAAAGGAGATGCCCTTAATTTGGATTTAATAATCTAATTCATCTTTAATTAATGTGGCATTACCTTGTGAGAAATGGGAATAGTCATCCTCCTTCTGCCTGCCCTTGGCTCTGCAGCAGTGCCCAGGAGATGAAAGTGAATAAGGTTATATGTCTGTGAATTGATTTGTAGGCTCTGGGACCGTCACCAGAGTGGCTCCTGAAGTGCCCCAGGGATTCAGGGCTCTCAACAACACTATGGCTGGGACCAAGCTGAAACGCATGAGGGAGTAAGTAGCATATTTTTGTGTTACTGATGTCATGATAAAGGGAATGGTTTCGAGTAACAGCAGACCACAGGAAAGCAAACCATGTTTTTTCCTTGCCCCAGGCTCCCCCCAACTAGAAGAAGTCGATCCTAAGGCATTCCTTCCAAATGGGATGCCTACTTACCCCAGGCAAGGGTGAAGGCTTTGGAATGTTTTCTTGTGTTCTGCTTGTCTTCATAGCTTCTGGTTCATTCTGGGTTTCTCCTCCTTTGTCATCTCAACATATACCCCTGGATCAGTTGCAGATGTACTGATGCTATTATCATGTTTGCTCTATTACCCGCAGCTGGCTGGCATGAGAGGATTTGCTTTCCTGTGATGACAGCCGGACTAGATGCAAGCGTTATTGTTGCTGCTTGGGATTTTCAAACAAGACAAAGGAAGTTACCCGTGCTGTTCCCTTTGAATCTCAGTGTCTCATTACTGACACTGAAATCCCAGCTTTCACTCTCTTAATACAGCAGGGACTTGTACTTTCTTCCTGGCCTGTTTATTGGTTAAGATTTTCTAAACTTCTTCCAGTAAATTGCTGATAACTTCAAAGCTTTTCTAGTAACTTCAAAGATTTGTTGTACGCTTACTTAGGTACTGACTCGGTACTTATGGCACTATGCATTCTCTCTCAACTCAGATCTTCTCTACAGTTGCACCATCTCAACTGATCATGGACTGTAAACACTTTGTAGAAAAGGTCAGTTTTGTCTTCTGTGAATGGACAGGACCAAGGACATGGTAGATGTTTTTGGAACACAAATAATAAACACAAGCAGATAGTACTATTAGCTGTTTAAGTGACTCCCCTACAAAAAATGAACCCAACCAAAACAGTTTTGGCACTAATCACTTTCTAAAACACTCTGGAATAATAAACAGACTGTATATATTCAAGAGAAATTCCAATCAGATTTACTTCAGATTCAATTTACTCCATTTTATGGTATGTCAAGATGCAGCAGTTCCTAGGATTTCACTTCATGACTTGGCCTGTGTTGTGAAACCAGGTCTCCAGCCTGTCATTCTATTTCCTTTCTATTCAATTTTCATGAAAAATGTCTTTCATAGCCAAAAAGTATCACCGTGCGCTATTTGGTTGTAAGATCAGGTTGTTTAGACAAGATTGTTACTGGTCTTACAGCCTTTGCATTGTATTTTCATAGTAATGGGATAGATCTGCACTAAAAACTATTAAAACATTTGACTTGTTCCAAGTTAGAGTAAACATAGGAGTGTATATGTATAGGTAGCCTGGAACGAATATATTTAAACTTTGATTCCTTGAATTGCTTATTCTTGTTCCTGAAGATGATGCTGTATCTCAACCTTTTGAAATTCATGGTCATTGCCCTTAGGGCTGAAGTATTGCTAAAGCACTTGCTTCTTTCAGGCTCCATTTTTAAAGAGCTGTTTGTCAGTTTTCACAACTTGGTGACCTTGATCTGCTCAGAAGCCTTTGAACTTTCTAGGATAGGCATCTAACGGCACATTAAAGCTGACAAAATTGAAATGCTGTATGATTTGATCCCAGAATAGCTTATAAAACAGATATATGTTAATGTAAACCTAATTACCTGGAATAATTTGCATGTGATGCATTAGACCTCTCAATTTTGAATCATTTTCCTAGTTGCTTAACTCCTGAAAGACAACCAGCAGCAACAACCAAAGCCCCATTCAACTGCCACCTTGAGAATATCCAGCAGACCATGCTCAGGAACCATTTTAAAGTTATATTAATTAACAGAAAAATAAAGGAGCTTTGTTCCTTTTTTTTTTTTTTTTGCTTGTTTTCGGTTGGTTGTTTGGTTGTGGTTATTTTGGTAGATAAGTATACAGAACTATTCTTGTGGCTTACAAAACTGGTTAAAGGTATATAGCAAAATGTCTACTCAGTTTCTATCACCCTTTCTCCTAAATATACTGTGGCCTTCCTGTTTCTGTATATTTCAAGGTAAGACACTTTATTAATTTCTTAGAAATGAGAAGAAACAAGCAAATGAGCATGGTATACCCACACATACACAAAGAGATCCCTGCAAATTCCTATCTTGGAAAAAAGTATGGTTAGAGTAAGGTAACAAGAGTTGTCAGTGGGGAGAAGGAGAGAAGGAGTATCTCTCACTGCAAAATAATGCTTTAAGCATCAGTGGATCTATCCATCCCTCAACAAACTTCACATAGTGCATCATAATTCATCTGAACAGGAGGGCTGCTTGGCCAAGATTATGTAAAATTAATACAGTTTAGACTTGCGCTATTCAGTTTTACTTGAGAAGTCGCAGGGATCTTGCAATTGACAACTTTTAATAAAATCAAGAATGTGTTTTCTTTTGTCTTAAAGAAAATGAATAGCCTGAGTTCTTGTAAGGACGTAGAAAGGAAGAACAGTAGAGGCCATATGAAAATGCAGGGGCATCTAGGTGCCACGTCACTGCGGAGAAAGAAGTATGGAATTTTGTGATTGGTGCCATTATCAGATATTAACAGGGATAATTGTGGTGAGGGAGGCTCAAAAATTACTCAGGAAGTAAGTATTGTGCCTACACACTGCAAACAACATTAATGAAGGAAACTCTCCCATTATCGCTGATAAAATGGTATAGCAATGTAAAGCGAGCACAGGGTCTAGCTGCAGAAAAGGCATTTTGGTCATGCTTAACTGGTGCATGTAAATAGTGTGTGCTTGCAAGCAAATGTAGCAGGACATTTACTTGACGAGATGCCATGTGCTCATTACTTGGGGTCATTGCAGTGTGTTGCCCTGAACGTTTCCTTTGACAGTATGTAGACTTGGTGTCTTGACAGTATGCGCTGGCTTCTGCATTCCGGTGCATGGCCTTAAACATACAGGGATGGAGAAGGAAGCCACTGATGTTCTTGAATATAGTAGGCAGGAATCCTTGGTTTCCAACAGTTTTAAATAAAAATTGCTCAGAACTTAACCCATAGATAGCCTGATAGAGACTTCCTTCAGTACAGTCCCAGAATTCTTTCACAAAAATCTACTTCCAATCCCCCTTGCATTCCCTGTTTTGGCATTTTGAATCCCTGCAATGGTCATGATAAAATTATCTACTCCAGTGACAACAATTTCTAGCTTGTTATATTTGGCATCAGTATTCATTATGAAGATGGAGCATCAGGGATTTAACTTTATCAATCAAGTAGAGTTAATTCTCTCTGCAAACTTTTCTACTTCATTGTTAACAATTTCAATACTGGGATGTTCTGCAGAGATTATAAAAAACTCCATTTCTTGAACTAGCTCCTGTAAAGGTTATCTGAGCTTTTCTTATTACTCTCCCTTACATGTTGTGTTGGGAAGTCAGCAAGATAAATAAACCACAGTTCTGTCATTCATATTCCTCATATTCCTCATATTGAGTTTTTAGGCTGAGGAATCATGTTAGATGCAGGAAACAGAAGGACTCATGTCTAGCGTTTTCTGTCCTGGCCCCTGTCTCATTGTCCTGACTATTCTCATTCCTGGCTGTACTGGATCACTTGGCACATGAAACATGCTGAGCCATGAAAGATGGCAAAATCTGCAATAACAGAGACACAGCCAAAATTTTTAGGTCTCTGGCCGAAAAAACATTCTGCTTCCTTTCAGATTACTGTATTCTATTATGTGTTCTTCTTTCCTGGTGTGAGACCACCTCAGTTGGCACTTCAAAGTGAAGTGCCCTGCAGAAGCACCCAAGTATCATGAGCCTATGGAAAGTCTCCCAATACATGCTTGGCATCTCAAGTCAGTACAGGAGGCCATATTCTCATAAAGAAGGGAGAAGGGTGAGAAATAAGATATGTGTATGCAGAAATTTGTAGGAAAAAAGTGCCTTATTTGACTTTTTGTGCAAAGGGATATATATACACTACATATTGCACTTCTATATATTAACTAGTATTTGCACTCCAGATGTTCCAGTGAGTGAAGATATTATTCCCCTTGAAGTCTCCTCAAAACTGTGGTCAAATTATTTTTCTCAAGGTTTGCTTGTAAAATCAGGATTTGTGTTCTACAGAGTAAGGCTGATATTAGAATAATCAAATATCTATAGAGCAGATTTTTTATCTTGTACTTTATATCCTGAAAAGATGTAAAATATTAAAAAAAATAGAAGGAAAAAAAATGTTAGTACAAAGTGTCTGTGGTCCTTCCGTATCCTGGAGGTATCCATGAATACACACAATGAGCCAGTTTAATAGCAGTGAACTTTAATACGCAGTTTAGAACTCAATAAAATGTATACTGGATAAATGAAAAGGCCTTTATGCCCCAAATTTTAGGTAAATTAAAATCCTTCAGCACAGCAGTAAGTAAGTACCTCTTAGTCAGTCCCTGAAGTCTTACACAGAGCAGCATACCATGATCAGGCAAAAGACTTCGTCATCACCTGCTGAGTGTAGGTAAAATTGTCTTTCAGAAGTCATGGAGAAAAGGCATTTGGCTTATTTTTAGGCATATTTTTATCCTGTTCCTGTGTATGCTCATAATGCTATTGGTTTAAATTCTTGAGCGGTATACATATATGCGTCTTGTGTTTGTGACATTTGCATCAAATGTACCATTTATCTTAAAAATTCAGAAAGAAAGGTCACACTGAAGTGACTGAATGAGCACCGGATAATATTAAGTATTCCTGAAATGCCTAAAGCGGAGGAGAGTTTCTGTACATTTATTTCTGCACATCTTTGAAGTTCTGCAATGAAGAAACTGATTATTTGATTTAGTGCTTTGAGCATTAAATGCTCAAAGTTGGATGAACTTTCCTAAGGGCCAACTCAGCTCATACTGAAACTGGTTTTGTTATTGGCATCACTGAGGGCAGCTTTAGGTGAAGACCAAATGCAACAAACAGAAAAGTTGGTGGGTTCTTCCACCCCTATGCAAAATAGCACCATGACCTTTCCTTACCATTGATTCTCATGGTGGATGGATCAAGACTTAAAACATACCTGGG